AATTTTACTCGTTTAAGTTTTCGTATTTGACAAATAGTAAATAAAGAACGTATCTTTATTTTTCGGTGTTAAATGTAAGATCCGACTATAAATACTGGCCTAATTTAACTCGTTTTGTCACTTACATTGCTTTGCGTAGGAAACCAAAAGAGACTAAAAAAAATAATGAAAAATACACATATATATTGTCACAGCAAGAAGTGTGTGCCTTGTAACAATTTATAATCGTTATATATATTCTGAAGACTTTCGCACCCTGTCTTTTATCGGAGCTTCTCCTTATCCATTCTTATCTTTCCTGCAGAACTTGTATAGCATCCTCGTAACATTCTGTTATTTGGTCGAGATAGGCTAACATGGTAGATTCGTCGATAGATTCGCGAAATGTCGCTAGATCGGTTCTGGAGTGCGAATCGATTTCGTCAGGGCATAGGAGCGCCTTGTCCAGATCCAGAAGCAGATCGTTCCATATCCTCACACGCAGCATCCTAGAATGTATATTACCGCACTGATAAATAATCATGCAATCTTGCAATGACAATTTTAGAATTAAAGTAATTTAATTGTAGCAATTTTTGCGATGCATATTTGCAATAGTACTATTGGTTTTATACATTATTAAGTTAATCAGCCGACTAATTAATTCTGAGTTTACTGTACTTACTGGCTATTATCTGTCGCGTCGATTTCTACATTCAGCTCCTTCACGGCTGCGAGCAGCACTTTGAACGTTCTCGTCAACTTCTCTGAAAGCGCAAAAAAGTAACAATTAATTCAGGCTCTTTAATACATTTAAAGCGCCCGAAAGCGGAAATTAATGAAATCGTAGAAAACGTAAGGTACCCTTCGCGTCTTGAAATCTGCTGGCGTCGATCGAATTCAATAACCTGTTGACGGTTTCATTAAAATACCTTGGCTCCCATTGAATAACTGTACTCTCGGACAGTCGCCATACAGTTTGGCTAATCATCTGTGCCAGAGTTACGTCGTGCAGTCGGGAATTTTGATTGTGATGACTGTATGCAAGATTATTATCATTCTATATGAAGAAAAGACATAAAGCACAGGTGAATTTTTTTCGGACTAACATTATCAACCAGACGCAGATAGAGCTTTAATCGAATGTTTAGAAGTCTCGACATCAGACACTTTAATAATCAAAAATATTTTAAATTTATATTAAAAATATTAAAAATCCTAATTTAGAATCTAATTCAGCGCAGCGATGTTTTCTATCAAGTTGAAAATGAATGCTTCGGTAATGAAGTGTTTTAAATCTTAATTTAGAATTTAATTCAGCGTGTAGCAGTGTGCTTTATCAAATTGAAGACGAATACGATTTACACTGATCAAGTTGTCCGAAAGTGCGAAACCTTTGCGTGAAACAAGGCTACTTACGAACGAAAATATCACTTGCGGAATATCGAGAGGAAGGCGGGGACCAAATATTTCGTGCTCGAGGTATGTCCAGTTACTGTCGCCGGGGATTGTCTTGATGGCTTCGACGGCTACGAATCGCATGACGTCCGAGCCGAACAAAGCCGCGTGATTGTTGGCTGAAATCAGATGGTTCTCTATAGAATGTCGTAATACGGGAATAAAAAAAAAATTCGAGCAAACCTCGCTGGAAACGACCGTGCACTCTGACGTAAGCCACGACCTTTCGCCACATGAATGCAGGTAGAGCCTGCGGACAAACGTCCGAGGACACAAGGGACACGCAGAATACCAGACTTCGTCGTGGCCGCCAATCATGCTGAGAAGAAATTCTGTTAAGGACTCGCGCCAATTCCAGAGCTACGGCGATACCGTCCTCGTTAACGGATAAGATAATATATCTATCTGAAACAATTCGCCAGAATGAACGGACGAAATCCTGGGATGGAAGAAGAGGAAAGAAAAGGAAAAATAAAAGTTTTGAGACACTTTAAAGATTATTCCACGTGAATCGCATGTAATCAGAATCGCGGATGGTGCAAAATGCTTTGAGACTGTATTAAATAGAAAAGCAAGGAAAAAGACAACAAAATCTGTTTAAGGATCAATAAATCTCTTTACTTCATGCGAGCAAATCTAACTAAAGTATCAATCGACTCAGAGACTCACCTGGTTCTCGTGAACCGCGGACAGTCGCGCGAATGCACGATGCATGCGTGAACACCTTGTGAACGAACGACAAGTTGGAAAAGTGCCCACTAATGCGTCGCAGATTGTCATCCAACGTCTGCCGATTTCTAATTGAAAATAAACGATGTCACTTATCAATTTATATCAAAGAATTCAATTCGGTAACTTTCTGATGGGAATTTTCGTAAAGACTAATCTAATTACGGTATATTTTGATCGCATATAAATGTGAGTGAATAAGATACTAAGGCAACGTACGTCGTGCGATCGTAGTCGAGCGGCGGCCTATTCAATTCCAGGAGCGCCAGTTGCTGAAGGTACTCCGTGTTCCGGAGACCATTTCCGGCCAGTTCGCCGCGCGCTTTCTGCGCCTGGGTCTCCAGCGATCTCTCAACGGCGAAGCGACCCAGCAGAAAGCCGCAGAGGAGACACAGGAAGCCGACCGAGAAGAGAAACGAGAAGCACAGTCGCTTCGTCACGTATTCGCTGGACTCGTCGATATTGCGGGTCATCTGAAAGCTGAGGACCCGATGCATCTCCGCGGGGTGTCCGTAGAAATATTTTCGAATGTATTATTGGCGGCCTATCATCCTTTATCGCGTCGTGCTTACTAAATCTTTCTTTTTACACAACCGCATGCTGAACGTCTTCAAAATATTGGAAACACGACCTAGATTTTTCTTGTGCAAGTCGGCCAAACTCACGTCTCGTGCATTTTTAGATCCAGAAATGTGTGCACGAAACTTAAATCACTAATTGCGCGAACGTTATTAAATCTAGAGCTTATCAAATCCGATGTTATTAAATCAATGAAATCTTGCGGTATGACGTGCAAGATGTTTTCATGTATTATTTGCGTAAAAGTTTCAATTATACGCGAGTCGCGAAATTAATCCACTTGCGTTAATTGAATCGAACACCAACGCGGTATTTACATCGTTCTGGTGACATTACGTTTATCAAACTAGCGATAAATCTTCGATGATTTCGTGCAAGCACGCGACACGTCCACTTGGACCGCACTTCTGCCTTCACGCACGCCGAGTTTTGATCGTGAGGACGATAGAGCTGACCGTTTTCCGCTGTCTCCGTCGTCGCCAAATTGCGTGGGACCCCGAAGATATATCTTACAGTCCGCCCCTTTGACGTCTCGTTTATTTTACTCTCGCGTGAAGAGCGTGCGCGCGAGCTGTTCTCATCTCCGTTTTATTGCGTGAGGAAAAATAGGGAAGTGAAAGGAAAAGAAAACAATATGACGTCGAGAGTTTGTCCCGATCGAATTCGCAATTTTACTTAATGAGAAATTCAGAAATTTATTCAATTCTCAGTCGCCATTAACCCTAGCGGAAAAAAATTCTGCACATAACTACAAAAAATTGACTTTAAATTTGTAGAAATTGTTATATCTTCGTTGAAACATTAGTTTTTTGTAAAAATATCTACGAAATAGTACCACAAATTACAATATTCTTAAATGAAGAAATTATTGCAAATAGTATTTCATGAAAGTGTACAATTTTGTAAAAATCAGTACAAAATTTTGCTAGTTTAAAACATTTGAGAAACAAGAAAATCTTAAAGAATTGAAACATCTGCTTACTTGTAGAATATAACAAAAATTAACAAAAGTGTTCCAATTCTAGCATTTTCATGTTGATTTTTATGACACTTTTTTAAATTTACGTAGAATTTCTTAAATTTTGGCACAGTATATAGTTTTTTGTAGAATTTTGTGGAATTATTTCCGGCAGGGAAGATTGAAATAGACAGCTAGGTTTTTTTTTAAGTATTTCGGTGAAAAATTTTTAATGGAGGCTAAGTCGAGATCGAATCATCGAGGAAAAAAGACAGAGTTACAGTTATAGAGATTCTTAAATCTCTATAACTTCTTAACGATCTTAAAAAATTTCTCGTATTTCTAGATTTGTGGCGTTCATTTGTAGTAAGACCATTCAGTTATGAGTCCACTTAGGCAACACAACACTAAAAGACGTTTTTCTGGACACCGCATACGCAAACGTCAGAAGCGTGGACGACGCAAGTTGGGTAACTTATTTCGAGTAATAATACGATGGCGGTGTTTCATTTATAAATAGTTTTCGATGTATTACGTGCGCGTGCAAGGTTGTTCCAACTATAGCGTCTTCTGTGCAGACTTTCGAAATATACGGATTTTTTACGCGTGTTAGTAATGTATTCATTATATTGATTCTGAACAAACACATTGCGATTGTTAAAAATGATTATTATAATAATATTATCTATATAAAACTAAATTATATATAATATATAATAAGTACAACGCATGTCCAAAAGTTACGGTACAGACATTCTTCTTAACAATAGAATCACGCGATGGCAAAGTTTCTTTTGGCGATAGTTTTCGTTATATTACGCGTAATATTTCAACTGTATCATTTGTAGAATTTGTATATTCTGTAGGTGAAACAATAATATTACACTTACAGGTTCTCAAAATAACATATTAATTTATCGTGCACGTCAATGCTAGTCTTAACAAACATATTAAACGTTCATTATCAATTTGCAATTAAACTTACAATTAAACATTTGTAGAATTTGTATATTCTGTAGGTGAAACAATACCTAATGAAAATTTTCAACATGAAATTAATCTCGCACACACTTATTTATTACGATAATATTTTACACTTTCCATTAATCATTTGTACAAAATATTGTTGTATAAAAAGTCGATGCAGGCATGAAGGAAACGTTATTATTACGAGTAGCTGAATTAATTTTTTGACTGAGCTTGCCTATTAACTCCGTCCTCTTTAATCGTATTTCACGCAAAGAGTGGCATGTTTTTCTACACGATATTCTGAATTTAGGTCCATCGTGTTTGAATTTCAGGCGGTCTAACATTGTTTGTGGTTACATCTCGCTGCATTACAGCACGTCTATGCATTTTTCACTCTTGTGACAAATATTATTTTATTGAAGGTTTATCACCAATTTCTTTCGAGTTACAAAGAAATGCTTCTGTAATTTAAAGCCTCTAAATAAAATATAACTTTTTAAAAATATTTTTTGAAGAAGGGGGACGTATGAGGGCATCGTAAAAAAATTAGTGAAATTCATTGGTTCTTAATTAATATTAATTATAATTTGCTGTTCTTCTTCAATCACCTTTTATTTACAAAGTTTTAATTGTAGAAATATTTTTTTATTTTATATGAAATACATACACTTATTTATTATGACTTATCTAATAGTAATCACGAAGAAAGATCTATTTTAAAATATCACAAGTCATGGAATTTATGTATTTTAGAATTATATAATACTATACAATACCAAAAATTATTGTATGTAAAACTTAGCATCAGTTTATATATAACATTTCACATACATTGCAGGAACTAATACAATACGGTTGTCACATATCTATAAATCTCGCGTTTATTTACGATAACAATATATTTTCAACTTATTGATATTATCTGTGAAATTTCTGAATATCTATAAAATTTTTCATTGCATTAAACTACTAATGGATGCTTAGAAATAATATTACAAGAAACCTATTTAAACAAACATGCCACGATTATACTTATCTTCTCCATTATTTAAAGATATAAATAGAAAAAGAAAATATTAAAGAGATTATTTGGTATAATTATTAATACTTCAAATAAATAATAATCATTATTCGATGAATAATTGTAATTTATAATTTACAATTATAATTTATGTCTGAATAATATATAAATCATTAATATAAATATTAATAATTTATATAATTAACTATTATTGGTATATTATTATTTGGAGTAAATTTAAAACGGAATATTTAGTTTTTCAAAACATAGCTTCATATAAAGAAGATTCTATTCAGTTGGCTCTACTTTGTAATATGATTCCATTTCATATTTTTCAATTTAAAATTATTATCTTTCCGATTGTATTATAACATCAGTAACCAACTATTCTATATCTCAAATACATTTGCGCGAGTACTTGGTATCATAAAGTTTTTATATCAGGAACATTTTTATTATTTTTTGTCAATTTGAACTCAAATTGGACAAGACTAATCGGACTCAATTCGATTTGAATTTTGCGAGAATCTACACGTCCCTAACTTTAAGCGTTCGTGACTTTTGAGATAACGCTTCTGGCCGAAACTGATACCGCATTGCTGACACGTGTACGGCTTTTCTTCAGAATGGACACGTTTGTGCCTGGTCAGGTCGTTCTTCACACCGAAACCCTTGCCGCATACGTCGCACGTGTGATTTTTCTCACCCGTGTGCACTGTCAGGTGACTCAGCATCTGCTGCCTCCAGCGGAACCTTTTGGCGCAATAGGTACACTTGTACGGAAACTCGTCCGTATGGATCTTGCTGTGTATGTAGAGCGATGCCTTGGTCTTGAACGTCTTGCCACAAGTGTGGCACACGTATGGGCGTTCACCGGTATGGATACGTCGATGGTCCTCCATGGCGGTTTTCATGGCGAAGCTGCGGCCGCATATATCGCAGGTGTGATTCTTTACGCCGTCGTGTACGTGTTTCAGATGATAATATAGACTACCGCCCTGAACGAATTGCTTTCCGCAAATGTGGCACGTGTATGATTTCTCGCCCGAGTGCGTGCGTATGTGGGCCCAGTAGCTTTTCCGCGAACGAAACTTCTTGTTACAAAATTTGCAGACCATCGGCGGGCTGGTGCATACGGTCTTCTTGGCCTCGAACTGTTCGACGTTCTTCTCTAGATGTTCATTCGACTCGATCCCTGCCGCCGCGTGTTCTTGCTGTATACATCGCGTAGCTTTCGTCCTTTTCATGCAACTTGCTCGTGTTTGACTAGCAGGATTAGAGTCTTTGTCGTCTAAACTTTTCTTCTTTTTGTCATTTGTCAATTTATTTGATATATTGGAAGATGTACTTGTGGGAGACAAATGTTCGGTTAGTTTATTGTTATCTATATTATCTGCGGGAGAAGAAATACTGCCCGAGTTTCCATCGGTTACATTGGATGTTTTAGTTTGAATTGGATTAACTTTATTCCTGTGCTCTGCGACTTTATACATCTGTCGGAAATAAGTGTGGGCGATTATCCGATCAAGGATGACGATCTCATTCTTCACTCTGTAAAGATAAAAAGTAACCATATGTTATTAACTTATTAGGCATTCGTTCATTTTTCCGTTATTACAATACATTATATATTTCCTATACATTGTACATCATGCACAGGAAATTTAAAAATTGAATACTTTAATGAATAGTTTTTTTAGTCAGTTTTTAGTCAGTTATGTA